CTCGTCAAAGAGACAAGTGAAGTCAATCTCTCGACAACCGTTCTGCTGAAAACGGTTACACTATCACTCCAATTTTTGTCATTGTCTATCTATCTACTCTTTTCCCTCTTATACCACTGTCGTCCTATCACAAATTCTCATTTCGATCATCCAAATGTGTGCCTTTTCTGTGGTGCTTGCTGTCAGGTTGATTATTCATGTTAAAGACTCTTATATCCGCTCTGCTTCCAGGATATCTTCATCTCGTTCCAAGTCCTCAAGCAGGGAGGTGACTATCTGCTCATCTGAGATGTTTTTTTACTTGAATTGTATGTCAAAACTTACCCACATTTCCGTCCCTGCAAGTCCAATATTATGGGTCCTATGAGAAAATTCATATGAATTCTTCTTCATATTCAAGAATCGGTCGTTTACTTTCTTAAGTTTCAAGCATATAAATTTCGCTACTTTGTGTGTTGCTCCATGTTTGTTGACTGGTAACCTTAGTGGTTTCCCTTGTTGTGTATCTTTGGTAGTCCGTAGGCTGTCGGTGGTCTTGCGTCGTTTTTTATTAGTGTATTTTTCATCCATCTTTCGATTTCTTTTTGTTTATGCATTTCCTTTACCATTTTCTTCAGTATTTTGTTAATCTTCATGGTTGAAAACTTTTTTACTATTTGATAATTATTCGGGTCGCATAGGATACTTTCCATTTTTTTCCGTATACTGTTCCGTGCCCATTATCAACGTCGCACATCCATTATCCGCCTTAAGTACTGTTTGGTAATTAATTTGTAATTTTCTGCGTATCTTCAACAATCCACTCCTTTTCATTGGCTCTTGATGGGACAGACTTGTCGGGATTAATTCCATTTCCATCTCCCGTTTAATTTCTTCTAGGAATTTCTCCGAGATGTTGATAATTTCTAAAAGGATATCTTCGAAAATATGTATCTACGTTTGACTAAGAAATACATTTGCTAGAATATGGGATTAAAATGTATATTAATTCATTAAATATTCGAGGTTTTTTGAAATTTTGTGTATTTTTTTTAAACAGAGGCAAAATCAACGACAACCACATTCGGATTCGTCGACAAACTGCATCTCTCCAGGCATCCCAACATTTACTGCATGTATCGGTCATTTAACATCTTTTTCCCACCGATTTTCATTACCTATCTGTAAATTCCATTGTAGAATGAATAAAGTAGCATCCACTTTTGAGAATAATTCTGGAGAATTTCGAAACAATTTGTTGCCGTCTTTGGCAGCACTAAATCCTCCCTCGCCACCAATTATCTTGGTTGGCAATAAGATAGACTTACTTGATATATGTGAGGTGGATCGAGGGCTTGCGGAATCCCTTGCAAAGCAATGGCATTGTCCTGTGGTGGAGACTTCTGCGCTCACCGGAAAAAATGTGCATGAAGCCTTCTTAAAGCTTGTGCAGCAGGTAGAATGCATTTTCTTAACTTACTTTATTGCCCTCTGTTATAAACCTTTCGATATCTATTTATTTAAGACTATTAGTAAAATTGAGTATAGCGATATTTAAATTTTACTTTTTGACTTTTGTGGATATGCTAATCAATGTTAAGCAGCCTATATTAAATGAAAGTATCTAAAGAGCCTAAGCAGAATAATGAGGACAGCCGGAATCCATCGAAATGTATAAAGATTGGGTCTTGTCTACTAGACGAAAAATGGTGCTGCTTCAATGTATACGTTTATTGAAATGTACAATGACAGGTGATTTAAGCTTTGCCATCAGCATAATAGGCGTTTAATGGGAGATCCGGCCTCAATTTTCTGTGGCCACGACTTTACAGTATAAACGCACTTTGATTTATCAGAATAAGTATTTTAAAATAACCGAGAGTAGCAGATTAACTTAATTGGCAGCTAAGACCACCTCGATTATCACCGGACAATAATTATTCCGAGATTCAGGATAATGAAGAGAAGCATATTAATAAATAAATCACATGCAGGAATAACCTTCAATTCCTAGTCTTATTACATCTACAGATGAAAAATGGGAATACTCAAGGCTATGATCATCAGAAGTTAGAGGCCAACAGACACCAAGTTTTGGGCAATGATGATTTAAACAAGCTGACTCGGATATTTTCTTAATAAAGGGTACCCTAAAAAATTTATAGAAAGAAATATAGTGGTCATATAGAGCAGATAGTAACTTGAATTTTATGAAAATAAAATCTGGAATAGGGTAGAAGAACAAAAGCGTATATATGAGTTATGTCTACCCTTGAAAACCTACTCAAGAAAAAAGTGTATGTCTGCACTCTTGTGAATTTAATCTGAAATTGTGACCGTTACTAATAGAAAGGAATATCAAGGTGATCAAGAAATAAAAGAAAACACTTTCACCAGCTTGCTTACGCAGCACGAGAAGCTTGATAAAGTAGATTACTTGGGAGTTTATCGCATCATATATATATATATATATATATATAAGCACTTATTCAGTCGGCAAGGCAAAAGCTTATTGCCATCAAATTTTATTAAAATGTTTCAAGGTATTGAACCTAATCCTTAAAATTATGCCATAAGAATCGTCAAACAAATATATTCAAACGATTACTAGATTAATAACAATATATTTTGAATACTTTATGGGATCCTTAAAAGTGTTCTATTTCACCCAGCTGTTTTTATGAGCGATGATGAGGTACGAGTTGGTTTGACTTTGCTTTCGCATCTTGGTAGGAGCGACAATGAGACCTTATGGAAAATATAGTTCTGCGACATATTAATGATAATTTCAATCATATGATTGTTGATTTGATACATTCTCAGACGTTTTGCATTGTAGTTGACATCCTCAGTGAAAGGTGCCATGCTTAGGGCAAAGTTACAGCTAATCAGAGCGACAAGTGAATTCAATCGCCTTAACTAATTTTCTGTTCAACTGTTGTGAGAATACTCTTCCCCTTTGTTTAAGCGTGTAGTCCTGCATTCCTTTATTTCAACCCCACTTCATATGGCCAATTTACCTATTCATATCATTCTGAGCTGTCGTTTCCTCCAATGCCGCTTATTTGTGTGTCGCTTCAAGTGGGATTAGTGAAGCCGGATCACCACCACT